TGGGATTCATCAGTCCATATGCAGATACCTGCAATGCCTACGTCTACGTCTACATCTGAGCTCCTCAAAGAGACTCCCTTTTTCAGTCATTTACCAATAAAGAGTGCTTTTTTAGACAGCACTTCATCCAAAGTAAGCATCTAAAATGTCAGGTGATAGAGACATAGAAGGTCTATGTTTCATCAGTGATGATGGAAGGACATTAGGATGATTATAAAATAAATTCCTCCTCCATCTGAATTAAACACCTGGAGTTAATTCACTTCTCCCAACAATTGACTTATACTTAATAGAGATCTAGTCAGTGGAATCTGGAGTAAAATTCTTCTCATGATAAAGCAGAAACTTGTATTTCTTTAATTAATCACAACTCTTAAATTGGGTGAGATTATTTTTATGAGCTTACCAGCTTGTATAGCTAGTAACTTAACCATAGCTACAGGGAAAAGGAAAAAAAAACAAAAACAAACAATCAAAACCAGAAAATCAAACAAGGTGTTGGGTCTTCTAGCAGTTTACCTTAACAAAAAGTCATCATTATTTTTACCTGTATCTATCCAAATTACAAAAGTGTCAATACATGATTTATAGTGGGCTTCCTCTTTAAACCTATCAACCCTTGAAAGATGATCTGGTACCACATAACAATTCAGCTGTCACTGTGGTGTGTGAATATTTGCTTTGGGGGCGTGCAGGAGTCTGGGTGTGGGTGTATGTGTTCATGCTCTTCCTTGTTCCTTTTAAACAAGATATACTTACTATTTCAGTACAATAGTCAAAGAAATATGTGAACTGCATTAGGTTTCATCATAGAGTATGAAAGCTCCACAATGGGATAGGTACATACTTTACATAAACCTTTTAGAAAAACAGTGCATGGCAATGAACTGAGTGTACCATTGCCTTATGCTGTATAATTTAACATGCACATGCTTCTTGCAATAGGTTGGAGTTTACATGCTTTAATGTGGAATGGTCTTTAGCATATACTTCATGTGAATTCAAGATCATTGTAATGAAGTCACTGGAGCTTTCCTGATTTACAGCAAAATTTTAAATTCTAACACTTTTAAAAAAAGATGTATTAAAAATTGATATCTCTGAGACCTTTATGATTTAGGAACTTCAGTCCCTTGGATTTTTTTCATTAGGGCAAATACAAGCTCTTATTTATATTTTAGGTGTAAACTAGGTTCCTAGTAGAATCTAAATAGCATTTTTTTTTTCTTTTTCACATGATAATATACTATTATTTGGATTTTGTGAAAATTTGCATTTAAATGAAATTCAAAGAATATTTACCAAAATAAAACAACTCAGAACGTTTTTCAACAGCTACACCATGATTACTGAAGTATTCTGGAGGTCACCAAGAATCTTGCTGTAATTGAAGTAATTGCATAAAATTTACTAACTAAAACTTTGTTATAAAGTTTGCAATACAGAAAAAATTGAAATGTATGATGTAAAAGGCTATACTGGTCTCCTGCAACTTTACAGGAACTAGTTGGCTCAAAATATAATACTGGTGTATTTACACTTAAAACCAGAGGTTTTATCAAAATAGGTTGATTGTATCTTCACAACTGTGAGGCAAAAAGATCTAGAATACTTGCTTAATTTACTTCTGCTGGAGCACTAGTAGTCCACAATTTTTTCACATCACCTTCCTGAGAGAGAGACCTTCTCACACATTGCTTTCTCCTTCCAGGACCCTCACCTTTTTGCTCCTGTATTGTACTAGTTCTCTGTTTCAGTGGCCTTGCTGCCCACGGTTAAAAATGTCTAGGCTGGAGACTTGGAGCAATCAAACATCTCTTTCATGTGCATTGAGTTGAACAGAAATTTACCACATTTTAAAATTTGTTCTGGAAGGGAATGCTTCTTTGGTTATGACATTTGGAAATCAGTGGCAATATTTTGCCAGGGTGTACCTGAGGAGCTTGGCTCAAACAGCTTATATATATGGCCAGATGACAAATCTCTTTACTGTGCACCCCCTAGAAGGGCTCAATTTGTGCAGATAAGTGTTATAAGGCATGCAAGTATTAACTCAGTCAAAACTTAATAGTAGAACATAGGCAAAAAGTCATGCCCAACCTTCGGAGTCAGCCAACCTTTTCATGCCACGCTTGAATTGGCATTTCTACCATGGTGCAGCTGATTTATCAAAAGATATTGAAAGAGCTGAATTGACAACTTGACTTTCCATTTCTGTACAGCTTGTGGTAAAATAATTTGCATCGGCCCAATATATTATAGACATTCTGTTCTAAATATGAACTTCAAAGCGCATTATAAAGCAGAAAAAGAAGAATGGAACAATTTTGGTACCTCTGCGAAGGCGTTCCGATTTGTCTGTAAAGTGACCTTGACGACTTCAAAAGGGTTAACCACAACTGCCTCTGTCAACCCAGATCCCAAGCCAGCAGCTGCAAATGCCTAGAAAAGCCAAAATTAAAACTAAAAATTAAGGAGTAAAATTTCCCATACATCAGATTATGAGAATGAATGATACAATGCAACTGTGAGATTACAGTAATGCAGAAGTATTCTATTACTAAAAAAATGTAGCCCTTGATTAGATGCTGACAGTTCATGGAGACAATATGACAACAGCCATAGACCACATTCCAAAAAATACAAAATAAAATGTCAGAGCACTGTCAATAAATTCTCTTGTGGTGCCAATTTATTACAAAAACATCGAAAAACAATGCGTTCGTGTTATCTTTGGGTGGAGTCAGAATAAAAACACAAATATAAATGCAGTTAAGAAGCACTGGAAAATATAAAAGCTCTGCACTGCACACTAAGCATATAACAGTAACTTAAAAATTAAAGATATATAAGAAATTAAAATAGTGCGGTACTTAAGCAAATTGCACAAGTAGAAGAAAAGTTCTCCTAAGTAAATATCAATCCTGGAAAGGTTTATATAGGAATGAGTGGCACACACGGAATTGTCAGCATCCACTGGAAGGACAAATTAACTCCCTTTTATTTAGAAGCTGTATATTACAGCCACAGATATGAAGATATTCACTGCTTTGCTTTCCACCACAACACAATATTTAAATAGAACTTAATTTGTTTGTAACAGAAAAATAATATCGAAACATTTATGTCAACTGAGATAACTCAAGGAGTTAATTTTAGTGATCATCTTACACATTTATTGCCTCCATTTAACATCTACAAACTTCTTAGGGGCTGAAAAAAAGTCCCAGGACCAAAATACGATATACTGACTACATTTGGTGAAAAGCAAGGAAACCAATGGTAAGGAAAAAAACAATAGTAAGCAAAACCTTATTCAATACAGAAAGATTTGAACAGGGACTCCTGAGAGCACAAGAAAGAGAATAATGGTAAGTTAGAAGGGTAGTGGCAAGCTCCAGCCTTACTACCTTTGTAGAAGACTGCGTTATTAACACATTTATTTTTCTAGTATGAGGTGGGAACATAAGCTATTCCTTTCATCCTCAACCATGAGACTGACGCCAGGAAGAACGCGGTGCTAATGTATACATCTCTCTTCTAAAAATAAATGCTGTCTTGATACAAGGTCTGTTGAGGCACCTGGAAGCTGCCTCTAGCTTAGACCAGACTCCTCAGTCTTTTTTCTCCTTCACCACACAGCTATCTTAGGGACGATAAACGCCTCTATGGTAACAGTCCTGCACCAAAAATGTCAGGAGTGTCTGATGGCTGCTGCATCTGCTATATGAATCAGAGCAGCTTTTGGTTTGCAAGTTTCCAGCATACTTTCGTCCAAAAACAGTGCCGGTGAACCATGGAAACTTAAACCCTGTTCTTTCAGTTTGCCAGAGAAGAAATATCAGCCTCTCTACACCTATGAGAAGAGCCTGTTGAAAAGTGCAAGACAAAACAGGAGATGCTGTAAACAACCACAGGGTCAGTGGAGTAATTAAGAGGAAGAGGAACCTTGGAGTAAACCAGTTAACATAATTCCATGACCAGTCACTCACTGCAATAGAAGACAACACTGTTTGAAAAAGACCCGAAATAACTATAACCTTTATAGTGTAACCATAAAAATATCAATTGTTTTCTACAGTTGTGATGCCATTATTATAAAAAAATATTTACTATTACTTACATTCTTACACCACAGAAAGCAGTAGTTCTTAAAAAAATTTTATTCCAGATAGTAGAATAACAGAATTAAGCTCTGTATATGAGAATGCAGACAACACATGCAAGCTAGGTCTTAGCATTAAAACATTTTTTTTTTATATCTATGCCCTGCATTTTGTTTTTAAAACAGTTATGTTCTTGAGAAGAAATCCTAACTCCACTAACTGTTCTGCCACTGACTTCAAAAGCAGTAGCGGTTTCTTATCAACAGTTTATGCTTCTATTCTAAAGCCTTTAGAATAAGACTGAGGTCTGTACTTTTGTTACAGTTCCACTGTGCCTTGCAGAATGGCGCTTTGAGGTTGAGGTATCAAACTAGCCACTAGTACATGAATAAATAAATAAACATGGATAATGTTCACCTTTTTTGGGTTATTTACTTAGCAAAAATGAAGAATGACAAGCTGCATACAGACTCTTCCGTGGTGACTGTCGCTATCCACATTAACAAAGGTTATGACATTGTAGAGAATTATTTTGAAGATACATGAAATAAAAGTTAACATAACTATAATTTTGATAAATTCTGTTACCAATGTTTTCAATGGACAAGTTTGTTATGAAAAACCATTGGTTGAACAGGCCCCTTTAATCTTGGGCTCCTCCTATGGGAGGAAATGGGTTCATTATACACACATGAAATTAGAATGAAGTTCAGTATCCATACATACCAGTCCTGGTGGTAATGATGCATATCCTAGTAGCTTCTTATACTGTTCGAAGGTGAAAAACTGTAAATAAACGTTAAGACTGAAATTGAGTTGAAAAAAAATTACTTATGCAAATTAGTAAAATCAAACTACACTGGAGCTTCACTACCTCGTATCCTGAGTATCTGTGTGCCCTTTGCAAAATAAACATAAGCCACTTCTGTTTGACATTCTATGGAGCAATAGTAGACAATTAGGCTTCAGAACCAATTTTATTAGTGTATGACACATAATAGCAGCGTAAGTGGAATTCAACTTTTATGTAAGAGCCTGTTTACAACACGCAGTTCATGTTTTTAATTTATAAACTTTTCCTCTAGCATTGAACTATAATGAACTGTAGTATAAATGCAGTAGCAGATACTATAATTTCTTCAAAGAAGCCCCCCTCACATGCTTAATATAATATACTGCAATCACTTTCACATCTCAGATACTAGTCTACTTCTCATCAGAGCTGTAATTGCAGATTTTGAAGGTGAAAAGTCTGCAGATTCTTATAATCTTTTACTGTCACCAGACATTTCTTTTACTTTTTGCTCTTTACAAATACATCTTTCACCCAAATGTCTGCTTTCTGTCAGACGTGCTCAGCATTTGCAGTTTCTTAAGGTTGAGTTTTGAGAACTGTATTCTTAAGTGTCTGAACTTCATGAAAGAAATTAGTAACTCAGTTTCATCTGCATCAACATGGAGAAAGATAAAACACGTTGTCACAAACCGGTACTGAAGGGGCACTCACACACGTGAGAGTGTGACACCTGAGACTCGCTTCTCACACGCGTGTAAGTGGTTTGCTTTGCAACCTAACCTTTCTTGCTGCCCAAACCCATTACATTTCAGAATACCTTTTCTGAAATCTAAAAATCAAGGCAGAATAAATTAATGGATTTGTTCTTTCAAGAAGAGCTGACAACAATCCTGACTGCACTGAAGTCAACAGGAAGCTTCCCAACCTCTGACTTGCCTGGCTGCATTCCAAAGTTGACCTGTAACACCTGATCAGTTTAGAGCAAGTCAGTTCAAATGAAGGTGGGATCCTCTGAAAGTCTGTGCATTTTGTTCCCACACGTGAGGCTGTGATCCCTCCACATAGCACCTCCTCATGCATATTACAATCCAACAGTTTCACCACAAGAGGAAGGTAGTGGGAAATGAGGTCAGTGAAGAATCGTAAGAAACGTAAGAGAACAGGAGATTTTCAGACCAAACAGAAAGACTGGGTGACCTGTGCTGGGTCTCAGCCAAAGAAGACGAGCTCAGTCCCTCAGGGCTCAGCTACCACAGAACAAAACAGCTTTTCCATAAACCACATGTACAGGAACACAACTAATAAGCACCATATTGTCATTTAAACTTGTACAGAACCCTGTCCTATGGCAAAGTCACTAACATTTTTCAATCACAACCTGCTTCAAATGAAAAGTCACTAGAATCACAGTGAAACCATCAGCAAACTGAGTGTTAATGTGTTAATAATGCCACCACATTTAAAGCAGAAGGGAATATATATATACATAATACAAAATTAGGATGTTAAATTCTGAAAACTGAAGGACTGATACCCTGGCCAGTGTATAGATACTTTTAAAAATCCTCAGTAGGGATCATTATCTCATTTTGCAGGCAAGGTCCTAGAATCAGGGTCCAGATTTTAACTGCCCTCCAAATAGTGTACAGAGTGAACACTGATCTTACTAACATCCTGCAAATATGTTTAAAATTGATGTACTGGCCTTGCCAATAATCAGAAAAGAGGGAAGTGTTACCTAGGCTGTAACTCTTTCTTTTTGGATAACTGAAGACACTTTATGAGAATTCTCTGAGAAAGTGTCAGCTGTGGGTGGGTGAGTTACTTCATTGAACTAAACCAATTTCTTAGTATGTTAAAGTTTGCTCTGTTCTCTCTCCAGCATCTTTCTACTCATTGTTACCCTTCTAACCTTTAATGGAATTTCTGGTATTCCTTAATGTTTTCCATAGTGTTACAGATCTGTAAAACGGTTGTAATAAAGGCAGAAATACATTACCTGGCAATTTCTTGGTCTTTAAAATGTTACCTTAAAAATCAATAGCTTCCTAGAGTCATAAATAAAATACCTACTTAATAGGAACTATGCTTTATATAATTTTAAAAGAAAAGTCAATAGCAATAAAACTCAATATACATGTTGCTGGGTGGACTAAAATGGCCAGCGTACATACAATTTTGCCAAAAAGTATCTAGCTATATCATATGGATTTATATTATGTATGTCCACCCAAAACGCTTTTTAAAAACCCAACATAATTTGTCTTCTTCTGTACAGTTTTATTAAGTTAATAACTTTGAAAAAAAAAAAGTTCTCAGAATGAGTGTATTTAAACCATGCTTTTGTGTATATAACAACCAATGCTGTCCATCTGGCAAAGATACACTTTAATTCAAGTTACACAGAAAATAGTCAAAGTACTTACCAGATGTCTCAATAACTCTAAGGTAAAAATATACGCTTGAAACAAGATGTCTGGAAACACATGAACAATATAAATTTGCCCCCAAAGTTCATCTGTTAACCATTGTATTGGCATCCCCACTTCTCTTCTCCAAGTTCAATCTAACATAAAGTTATAAAATTTGACTTTTTGTCTTCCAGAAATACCGGCTTTCTTTTTAGAAGGGAAATAAAGAGAGAGAGAGAGAGAAAAAAAAAAAGCAAGACAGACATGAGAATGCAGTTGACTAAATGTGAAGCTGTATCTTCAACACTTAGCTGAATAACTGCAGCTAAATAACTTAATTTTAGTAGCTGTAGTTACTTGCAAATAACCATAGGCGACCAATACAGTATTTCAGAAGCATAAGAACATTTCTTTTTAGTACAAAGTCTCCCGTGTCCATCCGCTATACACTTTTATGAGATATAAGACACTAACCAGCAGTTTTCAAAAAAGTTAATTACAAACACAAACCAAGGCCGCTGGAATTGAGAATATCCCTCTCTAACTTTTGTGCTTTCTCAGGTCTTAAAATGATAGGCATGGACATAGACTTCCTCTAAATCTCACCAGTCAGTTTGGCAGTGAACAAGGGACATCTTAGAGCCTGTTAAAATGAGGAAAACTATTAGCAGAATAAAAGATGGAGAGTTAGCCAAAGGAAGCAGTGACTTTTCCATTGGGGTCATATCCAAATATGGTTGGTGGAAATTTGAGAGAAGCTGGATTCCCTTCAGGTCAAAGCACAAGTGCAAACTCCTCTTTGGATGTTAGAAATTGTGCTGGCATATCACACTAAATTGCTTCAGTATCCAGCTTTTTACAAGGACACTACTGTCCTGCCCTAGTCTGTCACTGAATTTTTCTAATTTTTCTAACATAGCTGATGTATCAAGGTAACTTAGAGACATCCTCATGTCCTAGGAAGAGCATAAAATTTAAAGGAATAGTGTAAGAAATTAAAAAATGTAATGATGTAATTAAAAAACATATTTAGCATATAAACTCGATACTCACGGCTGAAGAAACACACTAAGATCTCACATAAATGTCCAAGATTAGGTAGGAAGCATCCCACTTAGGGAGCACCAATAAGACATTTAAGGAGCTATAAGCTTACAATGTGCAAGAGTTTGAGAGTCTCTTTAGCCTGGAGATAAGAAGGCTGAGGGGATCTAATTCCTGCCTTCCACCAGCTAAAAATTATACAGAAGAAAAAGTCAGACTTTCTCAGAGGTCCACAATAGAAGCATGAGAAGCAATAGGTAAAAGTTGCAACAGGGGAATTTGGATTGGATAAAAGGCAAAATTCTTCACAGTGAAAGCAATTAAGCACTGAGGCAGGAGCACAGAGAAGCTGCAGTCTCCATCCTTGAAGATTTTCCGAATTCAGCTAGACAAGGCATGTGAGCAACCTGATCTAACCATGAAGTCAGCCCTGCTTTGAGCAGGAGGCTCACCAGCTCACCTCCAGAGATCTCTCCCAACTTAAATATTTCTATGATTAAACCTTTATATAATTATATTGAATATTGTATGGTTTAAGCCAGTTCAATCAATTTGACTAAGATAAAGTGACTCAAGATTTTCATCTTACTCAGGCTGGGAGGAGAGAAATCACACCTGGGTTGGGTGGGTTTGTAGTTTAAATATACGCTGGAATCTAAAAAGCATGATCAGATTGACTTTGACTTGTTTCAAATGAAATGAAATGGAGACAGAGGGAACATCATAGTCTGAAGGAAATGAGTTATTAGGAATCTTCTAAGTATCATCCATGTCTTCCTTACTGTTACTTTGCTATTAGGTGGAACTTCAGTTTTCAGTTGTATTAAATAATTTTGAGATAGGTGACATATGTCATTTGCATCCAAAATGCCAATGCAAACAAGAAGATGACATTACCAGAACTCCTTTAGGATTTGGTTACAAGGTCACATCCTGTCACTTTATACAAATATTATTCTTCTGTAAAGGAATTGGAATGTGAATGATTAATTGCAGACTAAGGATCAGAATCATATGCAGCCTTTTTAGAAAGAAACAAAAAAACATAAAGAAAGGAAAACCAAGACATTCTCTATAATAAATGCTTTTAGATAGGTTTAGTGCAACTACAGGAAACGTCAAAGTTCTGAAGTACAAGACAAAGAAATATTTGCTCATAACACAATGGGTACTTTGATAGACTTAGAACTTTAAGATGAGGTGCTTCATTATTAGGTTTTAATTCAAAAGGTTGCATGATGTAACCAAAAAAAATTCATGTATTGATATATTTTGCTTAGGAATGTTACCAAAATAATGTTCTACAAATCAACATAAAGTATAATAACAGAAAAACAGATCAACATTTGACAGCAAATACCCTTTGACAGGCTAGCATCTATTTCAACCGCAAGAGATCTGGAGTAAAATGTTCTTTTGCATAATGAAAAGTTGTACACATTACTAGGTCAAATCTGTAAAAACAGTGAGTGTGGAGTAGAATGCACTTTGGAGCTCAGGAAAACCCAGGGCAGCACTTCAAATCTACAGATATACTCCTTCAAGTTACTGTGCAAGTACCCCTTAGGAGTGGCTTCTTCAATGGCTTCTTGTGTGAATTTATTAAGCTAATCTTAGCTGTTTTGCAAGCTGATAGGCATTTTCAGTAAAAGAAAATGTCTAACCCACATGTAATTATGAGGCTAAAATATCACTTAAAGTATTTTGTTAATTTTGATTACATAAACTAATTGTAATTGGTTTTTCAGTAACACTATATATATACAGGTAAAAAAATAGCCTAGCATTTAAGAGTCTTATCCTACTCTTCATAATTAAGCACAATTTTTTTTGTGCTCTCAACAGGAAAGTTTCCTCCTAGTAAAAATAAGAGGATTAATATGCCAAATAAGGTTAAGATTTTAATGTCAATCAGTGGTGAAGAAATAAACTGTTTTATAGTTGTCACTACATATTTTTAAAGGAAGATGTATGTGGTTTTTACCTTCACCGCCCTTTTGGGTGTCTCAGCCAAGATGGGAGGGAATATTCCTTTGTAGAAGCCCAGCATTCTATTGAAGAAAAAAAGAAATTATTTTTGTATGGAAAAAAAATATATCATTACTATACCACCAATGCTATTTTCACTTTTGAGTAAAGCAATAAACCTTTCAGGATTTCCAAACACACAGATAAAAAGATACACTTTGTTTCCTTGCTAGGTAGTTAATGTGCTACCAGTTCTATTGTGTGCTGGTGGGATGATAAAAAAAATCAGCAATAAATAAGTAAAACTTCATTTTTTCTGAGTAGACAAGAAATTGTATTTAAAGGAAGATGAACAGTTTTGAAATTGAAGAGGAAATTCATTATTTTAATTTTCTTGACATAGCAACGATAATATTAAAAACTGATTAAGCCACTAGAAGAATAAACTAAATTCATACAATCACAGAATCCTTTAGGTTG